AGCGGCCGGGCACGGTGGCTCAGGCTGAGGCAGGTGGATCATGAGGTCAGGAGTTCAAGACCAGCCTGGCCAAGATGGTGAAACCCCATCTCTACTAAAAATACAAAAATTAGCCAGGCACAGTGGCAGGCATCTGTAATCCCAGCTACTTGGGAGGCTGAGGCAAAGAACTGCTTGAACCCGGGAGGCAGAGGTTGCAATGAGCCGAGATCACGCCACTGAACTCTAGCCTGGGCGACAGAGTGAGACTGTCTCAGAAAAAAAAGAACAAAAGAAAATGAAAACAAGCATAAAAAAAGAATCAGAAATAGTTTGATGCAAATCATGATTAACTACAGACAAGAGTAAGGAAACAAATAGGAGAGGAACATCTGGGAGTAGGCCTTTTTTTTTGTTTTTTAAGAGAGAGAGGAGTCTCTCCGTCAGCATGGAGTGCAATGATGCAATCACAGCTAACAGCAGCTTTGACCTCCTTGGGCTTATGCAATCCTCCCTCCTCAGTTCCCCAGGTAGTTCAGACTACAGGTAGGTACTACTACACTTGGCTGAATTTTGAGTTTTTAATTTTGTAGAGATGGGGTCTTACTATGTTGTCCAAGCAGGTCTCAAATTCCTGGCCTCAAGCGATCCTCCTGTGTTGACCTCCCAATGGGCTAGGATCACAGGCATAAGCCACCGTATCAGGCCTAATGATGCATCTCTGTTGCTTATGCACCTCTTTAAAAAAGCGACTCCGGAAATAACATTTAGTAACATTTAGGTAACATGCTTAGGAGGTATAATATACAAGCCAATCTAATCAGTAACATGTATTATGCATGTGACATTCTAGCTAAAAATATCCTACCATCAAAATACATTACAGGCCGGGTGTGGCTGCTCCCGTCTGTAATCCTAACATTTTAAGCCCAGGGTGAGCAGATAGCTTGAGCTCAAGACTTCGGGACCAGACTGGGCAACACGGTGAAACCCTCTCTCTATAAAGAATACAAGAATTAGATAGGCATGGTGGCGGAGGTAGTTCCAGCTACTCAGTTGTAGTCCCAGCTACGCAGGTGGCTGAGGTGGGAGGATGGCTTGAGCCTGGGAGGTGGAGGTTGCAGTGAGCCGAGATTGTGCCCCTGCGCTCCAGCCTGGGTGATAGAGCCAGATCTGTCTCAAAAAAAAAAAAAAAAAAAAAAACAAACCCCCAAACCAAAATACATTATATAATTACAACCACACAGATAGAAGCTTGCACACATTAGTGCAAAAAAAACGAAAGGTTACTGTGGGATCCTGGTGATCAGGATCATACTCCCTTACCATTCCTCCTATACTTCTTAACTGTCTACAATGATGAAATTCTTCTACTTTATATGAAAGATTAAAAGAAAGTTTCTCCCATTTTCAAAAGAAATTCAGTTCTAAACAACCAAGTATTTCTCAACCTTCACCCAGGTCAATACATAAAACCAATTCAACATTTAAGTAGACAGTTGTTAAATCTACATATACACATATATTCATATGCATGTACAGATAAACACATATAGATAAAACAGGAAGTTAGAAATAGCTAAATTTCTAACAGAAGACTGGATAAAAATGCTATAAAATCATTAACGATAAGCTAGATCTATGCACTGATGTGAAAAGATGTTCAAGACACAATTCTATTAACAATGACATTTAGGGAATAATTATAAAAGAATTTTACCTTCTTAAATATTTCTATAATTTCTGGATTTTTAAAAAAGTTAACCCTTATAATAATTATTTTTAAAAAATTAATTATAGAGAAAATACGCACACGTATGCAGATAAAGATATGGAAGGACAAACACCCTATTCAGATTCCCCCCTC